AAAAAAAAAAAAAAAAAAAAAAAAAAAAAAAAGTAGGAGTGGAAGGGAAGAAGGAAAAGGGGTGAAAAAGAGTGGGATGAAACGCGAGCGAATAGCAATACGCCTGCACGAACGAATTTGTTACCAGGCGAGTTTTGATACCATTTAATTCGTTGTTTCGACTGTGACGAATTCATCATGAACGGAGGGAGGCGGGAAAACCTTCGATTTCCATTTAACCCATTCAATCTCGTTTTCACGTGTTTCTTTAACGATCGAAATAGGAAACGCCCCCGCAGGATTGTTCAATATTTAACTGCAAGTTTTTGTAGAGTTTCGTTTTTATCCAGGTCAGCCAAATGCTGGAAATGCCGATTGGAGATAACAATCGATGAAAAGCACGCGCGATTTTCCACGTCGCATTGCGAACATAATAAATCTTAAATTCCTTAGCTATTCGAAATGTTTGCATTCGCGCGACATAGTCGAGGGGTCACGGGGTGGGGATCCAAGCAGGCACGCGATAGATTTGTAATCAAAACCATTCGTCTTTAGTCCTTCGACGAGTGAATGGCAACGCAACGTCGCTGTCAATCTGGCCGTATTATTTTTGTAAGCGCGTGTGTAGAATATTGTGCGTAGTGATGCATTGTAAAGCCTAATCTCAATCTCTTATCTCCGGTAATGTGTATGGAAGAATAATTCTTAAACTCTGTAAGAAAATTCTGTTCTAAAAATTTCTCTGTGTTCCTGTGAGCTTACTCGAAAGAGGAAACTTATGGAGTGGGGATAGAAGCTCGCAAGCCTTCATCGACGTTATATGTCTTTGATCCTTCGACAAGTGAATGTCAACACAACATCAAGTGCATTTTACGAACTATACTGTGGATGAATAACATCGCGAGTTTGGAATTTAACATCGTGAGACAATAAAGTAAAAAGATACTAAATTATGAATTCTGTAAAAAGATTTCTGTGCTCGTGTGACTAACTTTGTCCATAGGAGAAATTTCTGGAACGAATAAAGCAGAAGCAGGTAAGCGTTCATCGGCATCAGATGCCTTTTAATTCTTCAACGAGTCGAATATAAACACGAAAACATTTTCATTGTTCGTCGAGTAAATTTCGCTTAATATAATTGTCTATATAACATCGCAAGTAATCCTGAAATATATTTTCTATCTCGGGAATCTACGGTGAAGGTACAGAATCTTAAATTCCGTAGAAAAATTTCGTGCTAGAAATTTCTGTATTTGTACGACTTTGTCCATAGGAGAAACTTATGGAGTGGGGTTAAGAGATACAGCGTTCGTCGACGCCATGTGTCTTTGACTCTTTGACGAGTCAATGTCAACACGACGACGAGTGGACTTCTCGTGCTATGCTTCGGCGTGGAATCTCGTGTAGAGTGTAGAGGCACATGACGACAACTTCTGATGGAATTCGTGAACTGGATACGAAGCGGACTGCTTCAAAGAACCTGAATCGGGTAAGTACTACTCTCTCATTTACATTCTTGCGTTTTACCCGAGTGCAAATTTACAAGTTGGATGTTTTCGTGGTTATTCCATGGCGTTAGTTGTTGCAAGGCAATTCGTGATCCCAACCTAACCTTTCCAAAAACGAACTTATTGAAGATAACAATAATTATTTCTTAGTTCTGTTTGTAAATATATTAAAGCAAAGACGAAAAATATACAATGCTAACTGTAAGTATTAGTTAGGACACCTACCGTGTGCGAGCAAAATGTTTGCATGATATTTAGAATAATTTAAACTCGTAATTTCTTGTTATTTTATTATAAATCTCTTCTTTCATTCACATCCTATCAAATGTCTATTAATATAAAATACTACACAAAGTATAATTTGCCAGAGTATTTCAATAAATGTAAAAATCATACAGGAACAACATGATAGATTATGGTTATATTACGTTACGTTAACTGTACACTGAATCGCATCAATCTTATAACATTTCGGTTCGAATATCGCATTATCATCATCAACAAAGCTGGAAGGAACAAAAAGAGAAAACAGAAATGCATGAAAATCTTGCAGCAACGTCGATCAGATTACGCTCTCGACCAACATCTCGAAGTTTGTGTTGTTCACAAACACACTCTCTATTTGCTCTTCTCTCGTTCGCTTTAATCCGAAAGTCAAGTAGTGTTTTCATCGATTAAACTTCGTTTTCCAAAAAACTACAACGTAATGGAAACCGAACGGGGGGAGGTGGGAGGGGAGGCAAGAGAAAAGAGAGAAAGATGATTACGAGGAACGGAATGAAAAATATTAAAAGTATTTTACGTAGGTACTTGAAAATAAAAATCGTTGTAATGTTCGTCCCGTTTGAAACAGTATCTGCGCGTATTTTTTACGCGATGCGTGCGTACATAGGGGAAAAGGGACAGGGACAGGAGAAAAAAGAACGAAGGATAAAAATACAGCAAATAGAATTATATCTGGAATAGCGGGCGTTACGCGCGTCGGATTTCGCGCTGTAAATGCCATCGTATAAAAGTGAGACGAATAATGAAAATGGTTTTGCACGGCATGCCGCGTGTTCGGTGTTTCGAATTTGCCACCGGCCGTGCATCGGGATTATGAAAAATCCGTGCTCAACGTTAGAGAAATTTAATGAAAATTTTTTATCCACCTATTTTTTCAAACTCCTTTCTCCCGCTTTCCTTTTTCCTTTTTTTTTTTTTTTGTTTTCTTTTAATCATCTGCCTGATCAAGAATGGCGCGTTCAAACAACGGCGGGCCAAACTGTTCGAAATTAAATTGGTCGAAACGATGCTTGTCTAGTAGTTAAATTACATTCTGGCCATTCAACTTTCGAGTTATCCTAGGAATCGGAGTATGTTTACGGAAAACGTATTGTTAAGCACAATGAATAAAAAAATTAATTAGACGAGGCAGCGTAGTACGTTCGAATAGCAAATATATTACTAAAAGAGGAAATTGGGATGTTATTTCGTGGATGAAACGAGAGCACGACCGATGTAGATTACGTTTTGCTCCATAAATACCGGAAGTATGGAAAGTGTAACGAGATAACTGTCGGTATACTTGATTTGTGGCTAGATGGAATATGTGGGATTTGATGTTATTGCCAGTGTTTGCGCGAAAGGGTCTCGCGAATATCCGCGAAACCACTTTGGCCAATGATGTGAAACAGTGATGGTGCGACTCTGAAAAACTGGATCAATTTCCTTCTATTGCACGATATTAATCGACTAACTAAGAGGGAAAGTGGTAAGAGTGACAACATTTTTGATCGCAAAAGTTATAAATAAAATGAAATTTTAGTCTGTGTTTTCAAATATTAGAAGATATCTACTGTAGATACTCATAGAGACTTGTAAATTCATAAAACAAAATTGTCTAGAGAAATAAAATTATATCCTAAATAGGATTCTAGGAAATTATGTATCCTTTTCTCAACTTGTCTCTTGGAGGGTGAGAGATGCACTTCTATCTCTTTTCTCGTTATTTTATAGCGTATTTTAATTTTCATTTTTATTGCGTTATTAACATATTAACGGCCACTGTGGAGTTTTTTTCGTGACCAAAGAATAACTACGTAAACGTAAAGAATAATTCTAAAGGAAAGAAACTCCAAGTATTTATTTCAATTAATCTTGAAATACTATATCCACGCGATATACTGCACACTCTAATTACGAAAACAATTATAACTAGAGTACGTTTAAATAGTTGGCGGAATATAATTTTATTAACCGACGTCTGGTTCAAATAAATTGAAACAAAAATGAGAATATCCAGTGAATATCGAACCATAGTATTTCGCTATACACGGCACGAACACGTGATATATGAAAACAAATTTTTCAAACCCCTGTCTTTAAAAATTATAGAAACTTTCAATTTTCACTATAAAAATCTCCATAAAATTGTATTAAAATCTCCTCTCTTTTAATCAGGTAGCTGTCATGGTGAACGTGTGGAAACGGCTGTTAGTTATGTCTATTAAATTGAAACAAGACGTCAGAATGTGAACAAGAGGACGAGATGTAATTTCAAGAACTCGTAATACGGGAGCCGAAGCAGCGGGGAATTCGATAACCATCGAGCACGGAAGTTAATTAAGACGATCATGCAATAAACATATCGAGCGTATCGTGAATAACCAGGCTTCTATGCAGTCGATCGAACTCGACCGCCGATCGGAGGAGCTTTACAATTAGCGGCTACATCGATTTCGTGTGTTTCGCCCCGAAGCGAATGCTTCAAGTTAGAGCATCGGCTTCCCAGGCATATTCTCTTTACGCGTGAAGTTGGGAGCGTCGTTGCTCGTCCATATTATGGCTAGTTGCCATTACGAAGCCACCGTAACACCGTCTCGATGAAATAGCTCTACTCTAACCCCTTTCCTCTTGCCCGTTTTGGTATCATGAATATTCCACTCATATCGGGGAAACAATTCGTACTTTCCTTGGTAGTTGGAAAATTTAAAATTAAAATTATATCGTTGATATAACCAGGTATGCTTGTAACCGTATAATATTCATAGACTGGCAACCAAGTATTTCGGAAAATAACGGCACAACTATTTGAATTCATCGTATACGATAATTTCGCAACAATGGTGTGCGTAATGATGTGCCATTATTTATTTCATCGTCTCGTTATCCCAGTTATTTCGTTCACGTCAGGAAACAATAACGAAGTTCTCTTCGGCCCGTTATTGCGCCAATCGAGTTTCGAACTGCTTCGCAGACCGTGTTGTATCGCCGGTACGTACAAAGCAGCGTAATTACCGGTTTGATAACGGTATTACGGGTCGAGACGAAGGAAAAATTCCAAGCTTTTGCCGGCGATGGGAAACACGCACGAGAGAGATGGAAGGGTATAGTATACTGGATGCTTTAAATCCTCGACGAACAGAGCTCGTTCTCAACGCATCATTTTCAATTTCCAGGGTTATTCAGCGCGATGAATCAACGCTCATCGATCGTTGCTAGCCGCGAAGCAATCAGTTTTTGCATCGTTCTCCGGTAAGGAATGGCGTTCATGACGTTCAAAAGATTTCTCTCTCTCTCTCTCTCTCTCTCTCTCGCTCTCGCTCTCGCTGTAGCGAGGGAAGAGAAGAAGGATGATATCGATAGGAAACGGTATCTGAGGAAAACGTCTTCGCGTGAGGGCGACCTCCGAAAGTATCGTTTTTGCGACGACACCCAACCATGGCTTATCATCGAGAGGATAAACGAACGTCATACAGTCGGATCATCCGGATTTGGATGGTTCGCGAATCGATCCTTCAATCGAACCCATGCCACCCTTCCTCTCCTTACACTTTGATACATTTCTTTCTCTCTCCATTTCTTCCTTTCTCTCTCTCTTATTTCTTTTCCTTTTTTAAATAAATGACAAGATTTTTCGAATCGAGGATATTTATTCCTCTCGACGATATACAGAATCTCTGCAATCGCGATAGAATCGGGTAAGGCATAATTTTTCGTGAAAAAATAAATCGAAAATACACAAATGTACGAATGCATAAATTTTGCTTTAGAGAAATCCGATTTTGGAAGCCTAGTCGTGTTTGCATTTATAGACATGGGTAATGGTTTTATGTAGTTCTTGTCTTTATTACTATCACATTTTCTTTCTATCTGTATTGTTCGCCTCCTTTGGTGCTTTTTATTCAAATGACTTCACAAATAAGGATAGGACTTTTTAAAATTAATTTTCTCAATGCTGAAACTGTTCAATCTGTTGGACGTATGATATTGCATACGATTGTACCGTTCAAATGAAATTTTTATAAAGTCCTCGGGTATTACTTACATTTCCTAATTCTTTAAAAACAGTAATTGTTTCCTATTTTTCAATGGCGCCTGTTATTTTTTAAATACACTTGATTTAACAAAATCCCATAGAGAGAAGCCCATGAAGCCGAAACTTACACTCAGATGCGTGCCGATTTTCAAGATAGTTCTTCTTCTTAAAACCAAAGTCTCGCATTTAAAAACTTTATTGCACGCTTTCGACTGACTTTTTACGAAGGATCGTTCCTTAGGCGTTCTACCGCGATTGCAGTCACACCGTATATATTCGAAACATTTACGACCGTAGGATCAATCTGATCTTCTCGCGGAAGTGGCGATTGTTTCCTGAAATCCAAGGATGTAATTGGTTCTTAAGGGGTTGTAAAACCGTTGACAGGGCTGTAAAACGTTTTCATGGTGTGAGACACATAAAACCCAGAGAAATCCGTGCGATCGTGGAATTATTAGCTTGGTGGATATTTCGTCGAATAGCTTTTTCAAGCCAAAAGAATCCGTTATAAAATTACCGACAGAAGGCGTGTTCTTTCATTCTTTTCCCGTCTATTCTCGTCCATTGAAGCTCCACTTGACTCTATATCGATTGTCATTTCACCGGTAGTACGACGTCGATCAAACGTTCTATAACCCATTACCGTTCAAGTTGTCCCATCCAAAAACAAAATAGACGATC